AAAAAAAATCGTATTTCAGAATGATATGAATTGAGGGTTTTGTATTTGGTTAGTCAGAGGTTTGATTACTCCAGACATTTGGGATGGTGCTGAGGCTTGGAAAGAAAGGGGAAACCTAGATGCTGGTTTTAACTTTTATGTGTGGACCCCTCCTCCTCCATTCACTAAAACGGAACAAAAAATCCCGCAAATGTTAAAAAAAAACACCAAACCAGCTGAGAGGAACAGAAGCCCGGGGAATTACCCAGTGCTTTGGCCATAGCTGCTTCATCACACGCTGACTGGCAAAACTTAGAAAGGGTTCCTCTTTAATGTTAGCTCCGGTGATACAGTGGATAAGCAATGAATGAGCCCAGCAGTAGCTCCTTGGAAGAAGAAAACCCAACAGTCTCGTCTTGAATAGATGTGTTGTTGTTAAGTGCCATCGATTCAAGCACGACTTATAGCGATCCTATCAACAAAAAATCTCAACTCTGTTCTATTCTGCGCCATCCTCACACTTCCTGACACATAAGAACCCGCTGTAGCAGTCACCATGTCGGTCCACCTTGTCAGTGGTCTTCCTCTCCTTCGCTGACCCTCCACCCTTCCCAGCATCATTTCCTTCTCCAAGGAATAGCACCTCCTAGCAACATGCCCTAAATATGTGAGGCGAAGCCTCATCTCATTCTTGCCTCCAGAGAGCACTCGGGCTGCACCCTCTCCAAGACATAGCTGTTTGTTCTCTTGGTCATCCATGGGATGTTCTGTATTCTTCACCAACACCTCAGTTCCAAGGTGCCAGTCTTTTTCTGTCATCCTTATTCATTGTCCAGCTCTTAGATGCTTAACAAGTAATTGGAAAGACTATGGCCTTGTAAACCATCAGACCTCATGTCAGAGAGCTTGTCTCTTACACAACAAGAACTCTATTTTAGGGAGAGATGACAGGTCTAGAGGCATGATGAGAAAGAGGGTAGCAGTGGCTCTTGATTCCCATGGTAGCAGCCATAACACGGGTGTCATCCTTATACAGGAATGGCCTCTTCTTTTGTCCTGATGCATTCAGACAAGTTAGGGGACAGCTCCTGTAGAACCATCATTCTAGAATGACAGGGGTTTGGGAGGGTGTTTCCTTATTTTTCATTTGAAAAAAGCTTGCAAATAATTTGTTTTCATTCACTTCTTCCATATATATTTGGCTTTGTAACACGGATTACAATTGATTACAAACTCAAAGCTGCTGCCGTCAAGATGCATGCAGAGCCAGTGTACCTCTATTGAGTTTCTGCGGCTCCAAATCCAGACAGAAGACTGCCCATCCCCCCCCCCTTGTTGCTGGTGAATTCAAACTGCCTATAACGCAAAGCCTTTGGGCCACAACTTGCTATGGGCTTTGCCAACCTGATTGATGTAATGTCTGATCAACTCCTGACTGTATATAGCCTTTCCTTTTACTCAGCTTCTCTGTTTATGAAGTTTGACTCCAGTCTCTCGCCCTTCTCATCCCTGTTAATCCAAGAATAATACTGTGTGCAAACCTCTCCTTGGCGCTTTATACTAGTCATTTGTCATTTGTGACCGATATATGCCACTCAGTGTTGTTTTCTTCTAAATACATTGATATTGTGCAGTGTTTGATGAATTATTTATAGTTTTTAGTGATGTATAATGCTGGATTAAGTATCAATGCATCATAGTTTCTTTATCTGTTCCTTTGTTGACACTGGGTTTGTTTCCAACTCTTTGCTCTTGGGAGTAGTGCTGGGACAGATGTTAGTGTGCGTGGTAGCTCTCATTTCTTTGGGATCTATACATTGTAGTAGGATTGCAGGACCAAATTATATTTCTGTTCACAACTTAGATTGTTCTGAGAGTTAATAGTTGTCAGAATGGACAGCATCAAGTGTGAGAGACTGAAAAAGATTGTGAGATATTCCACTCTTGCACTGATACAGGTGAGGCAAGAAGGGGATGGTGAGAAATAAAACTAGATGATGCTCCAAGGAATATCATTAATTTTGCTTCAGTTCTTAATTTCCTAAATTTTAACAACTCCTTCACCTGAGCATTCACACATTTCCCACCTATTTTTGCGGCTCCTTAGAGAAATGCTAGGATTTTTAAAAAAGTTTGCTCTAATTATACATTCTTAATTTTTATTGTTGTAAAAGCATAGACTTTAAAAAGCCTGATAACACGGCAATCAACATATTCTGAGGATACTGCCTCAGAGAGGCTCTGAGGAGTTAAATGGTGTGCTCAGGAGTACCAGAGCCCCGGCATAGCAAGCTCCAAGTTCCAAGGGAACAGAACATGAAGTAGCATTAGAGAAAAAGCGAGTGAGTCAACAACAGGTGCATTCACTCCACAACATCCCCATTTAAAACAGCACCCATTTGTTATCTTGTAGGTTCTGTAGGTTGAGAGTTTGCAAGGCTTTGCCAGGGCAGCTGCATTTCCATTTGAGGCGTGTGGTCCTCTCCCACACTTAGCGTTATTTGGTGAAACTTGTCCTTTAAAGTTTAGGACCAAGGTTACTAGGATTCCCCCCTCTCCCACATTAAAAAAGATTTTATTGTTATAAAATACATGGAACAAAAAACCAAAACCAAACACCCCAAACCTTGCCATTTCAGCCATCTTTACATGTACAGTTTGCTGTCCTTAAGTATATTCACCGTGTTGTACAGCCATTACCAAAAGTTTTTGCATCATTCTAAACAGAAACCCTTTCTCCTTAAGCAATAGTAAGTCTTACTCTCTTCTCCTCCCTGGTCCCAGATGCTCACTAACAGACTTGTTGTCTGAAAGCATTTATCTGCTCTGGGTGTTTTATCATCTCAACTTAGTACTGTTGAGGTGGAACCAGTTCATAGCTGACCCTCCAGCAGGTTTTTGGAGACTGTACACCACAGAGGAGGACACTGCCCATTTCTCTGTGGAACAGCTGATAGATTCGAACAAACTATCTGCCTTTGGGTTGGCAGTGCACCTCCTTACCACAGATATCCTATGACATCGCCACCAGAGTCAGATCATACGATATTTGTCCTATTATGACTGGCTTATTTCACTCATCCAGCAGTGGCTTCTCTGAAGAATGACATTCTTTCTGGACACTTTTCACAGCCCCAGAAACCCAAGATAGGGCGAGCTGAGTCAGTTCCAGCTTGACAACATTAAGGTGCTATGGATGGGGGTTTTTAGGTTTGCTTTTGAAAGTATTTCACACAGCATAGTGTTTTCAGGGTTCATCTGGATTGTGTTGCATTTATTGGAATTGTGTTTCCCTTAATGACTGGATGATACCTACCCTTGATACGTGGAGTCCTTGTGGAGGTACAAACATTTCACGTACCAACCTATTAACAGAAAGGTTGGAGGTTTGAGTCCATCCAGGGTTCCTTGGGTAGAAAGACCTGACGGCCTGCTTCTGAAAAACCACTGAGAAATGATCTTTAACTCTGACACACAGGTTGGAAACAGCTCAGTGGCAGCTGGTTTGGGTTAATTTCCAACAGCTCAGATCCTGTGTTACTGTAAAATATATCGACTCAGGCCTGACTCATATCTCACTCTCCAGTGGGTTTTAGGAAGCTGTAAATCACAAGGGAGGAGACTGCATGTCTTTTTTCCATGGAGCACCTTGTGGATTCGTAATGTCTGCCTTTGGTTAACAGCGTAACTCCTTACCCACTAGGCCACCTGAACTCCCTAGACTGTAGAGCTCATACACTGTTACCTGCCAGCCTCTCTGGTTGGAGAATATATATGTGTGTGTGTGTGTGTGTGTGTGTGTGTGTGTGTGTGTATGCGCGCGCGCGCGCGCGCGCGTGCTTGGTTCTCTCTAGCTGTTCTCTCTTCCCTTTCGTGCTCCTTCCTAGTCGAACTCCTAGGTATCTTCCAAGCTCTACTCTCCATTTCACAGATTGGAAAGACCAGTGGCCTGGGAAAGGATGTATGCAGCCTCTCATCCATCTTTATTTTTGTTGCTATTGCAAATAGAATATTTTTAAAAATCTGCTGTGATTCTAAGCTATAAAAGTGCATTTAATTTTTCTGATCTTTTTAAAAAGTACTTTATTGTGTTTTAATGGAAAGTTTAACCAGCAAATTCGATTCCCATTCAAAAATTCATGCATAAATTGTTCTGTGACATTAGTTACTGACCCCAGAGGGCCCCCATGCTCTTGCTTGCTCTTGGCCAGTGGTTGCTATGGGTCCCTGGAGAGTGCCTTTGGGTTCTTGTCTAGGACCCTCTCTTCAGCAGGACAGGGTTCTTTCCAAAGGCAGGGGATATGAGTCCAGTGCTGTCCTTTGACTCCTTGACTGGTTCACCTGAACCTCACCCAGATCATCTCTTTTTAATTAATGCAGAATCATCTGATTCCAAATCAACCCTCTGTGTAATCTGGGCTTACTGTAATCTTCACAGAAGCAGATGGGCACATCTTCTGTGGAGCTGCTATCATCGTTGTTACTATATGCTTACATGTAGTTGAGTCATTGACTCACCACTGATCCTCCAGAAGGTTTTCAGAGGCTGTAAATCACACGGGGACAGGTGGGAAGAGATACTCATATTTCTACCAAAGATCCTAGGGATTTGAGCTGCCCACCTTTGGGTTGGCAGTGCAACTCATTACCACTAAGCCACCAGAGCTAGTGGGTTTAAGCCACTGACCTTTCATTTAGCAGCCAGGTGATTAACCGCTGCATTACCAGTGCTCCTTAACATCAGCTGATGAAGAGACTTCAGTTACATCTGCAAAATTTATTTTAACATATAAGGTATCAAAATCATAGGCAAGTTGTCGTTCATGACCCTTCTCATACTTGATCCCCAAACCCTACTCCTTTTCAGATTGAAAAATTAAGCCTAAGAGAGGTTGGTGCACTTGACCTACCAATGAGATACTGTCAAAGTGGAGAAAATATGAATCTTCAATCTGAAGCACCCTCTTCCTGAATTTAGAAAAGCCTCGCTTAATCACCTCTCATGTTTCTTTATATTGTAGGTGTGGTCTCCTTAGTAGCTGTTCATCCATCCACAGTAAACACTCTTGGAAAACAACTCCTGCCTAAAACCTTTGGACAGTCCAATGTCAACATTGCACAGCAAGTGGTAAGAAACCTTTCCCCAAGGACGGGCTGCAGATGTTCCGGGAGAGGGGTTGGGGGTTTGCACAGGTCAGGCAGGAGCAGTCTTAGTGTGTATGCAGTCGGTGCCCTCTGTTCACTGTAGCGCTCAGAAGTCGTATTGCCTGACAACGCCCCCTTGCGGTCGGGGTGCTCGCTGCTTCCTTCCTGCTGATTGGTTGACATGTGAGGAGTTTGAGCATCATTGTTAGCCTTAGTTAACCTCCTGTGCCCGTACAAGTTCAAGTGCTCAGAGTGCTTACACACATGTGCTTACATACACTTTATCTTGTTCACGCCTTCCAGTGACTGCACAGTGGGTATTTGAGAGGAGCCTCAGGCAGAGCATGAAATAGTAATAACCCAAATCCCAGGAGAACCGCCCACAGTCCTGACCCGCAGGTGATAGGTGCCCGAGCACATACAAGGAATCATGGTTTCTGATTCCTTCTCCCATGGTTTTACCACTGGCTCCTCCCTCTTGTGCACATTGTTTTTCTCTGTACTCAAATATGGTTTTGCCCGCTGCTTCCTTAATAACCCTACATGGTTAGTCAAGATGCATTTTGTTTTAATGTGTTTGAGGAGAAAAGAATTTTGGAGTAAAGAGCAGTGGCACTGCGGGTAGAGAACTGGTCTGTGTGTTCGGCCTTTGTCCCCTTTGGGTGATGCCCTCACGGTGAGGTGTGCAGGATGCCTGGGAGGTGGTAGTGGGGCTGTGAGGGGAGGTGGTGAGAAATGACATCAGTGTAGTAGAAGGAAGGCTGACTGTGCTGGGTCTGATTATACAGGATGACAGCAGCGGGCTGTGATGTCTACCCCGCTCTGTCAGTGCTCACTCTCCTTCCCTCAGTAGTTGGCAGTTTCCGTAGCATGTTTACTAACATCTTCTCTTGATGTGATTTGCTTGTTTTGTGACCTTCGTTTCTCTCTCTGATGGGCTCTCGATACCAGCCTATTAAAGACAAGAAAAAAAAATCCCAAACAAAATTCTGCAAGGCAGGTGGGGTGGTTTACACCTCTGGGTAGCAGGCTAGGGCACTTAGGAGGGAGGGAGGGAGGGAGGGAGGTTTACTCAGTGTAGATTGTGCATCTAACTCAGTGCTTCAGACTGAGTTCTACCCTGAGAAGGCAACACCAAGACAGGCCCAAGTTTTAAAGATGTAGGTGAACTGGAGTGAAAACTAAATCAGAAAAGATTATGAGGTTGGATCCATGCTAGAAACATAATCTCTCTTTTAAGGCAGCGTGTGTGTTGTATCGTGAACAAATGTATCTTGTCCACAAAGTGAGAGACAACAGCTGCAGACTCAAAGCAGGCTAGTCATGCTGCTTTGCATGTGCGTGCCAATAGTTCAGTCTCCCATATCAGCCTTATTACGCCTCTCCCAGCTTTCTAGTTCCAGGGCTGCAACCTGTATTTTTGCCCTGTTCCAATTTTTACATGTGCTCATCCAAATTCTGAAAATTCAAGCCTACTTTCCTTTCACTGGCCATGGTAAAACTGGTTCAAAGCCTTTGTTTAACTAGAGTTGTTTAAGGGTTGGGTATGGATAAACCTGGACAAAGGTTGTTCTGGGTCTGCAATCCTTTGTGTGGTGGCAGCTTCCCTGATGACTGAGGACACATGGTCTGGGTGATGCCTGGGTGTGGATTCCTGCTGCTCTGGTCCTTCATGATCTAGCCTGTGCTGCGTGTTTCTAGCTTCCAGGCCCTTCCTGCCAAGCCCTGGCCTTTGTGGTGGAAATGAGGCCGCCTCTAGCAGCCTCAGCACTGCCTCTCCCTCCTCCCACCCCTAGCTCTGTAAAGCGCTGCCACACTCTGTCTCCAAGTGGCCCACGCTCATGCTGCTACACCCTCCTCTCAAGCACATGTGATGTGACATCACTTTTTGGCGGGAAGAAAACCTTTGTTTGGCATAAGAGACTGAGCACGGTCCTGTGTGGGTCCGGCAGCAGTTGCTTTGCAGGGGGTGTGCCTGGACTGTTTGCTGCTTTGTCCAGTTTACTGCTGCTTCTTAAACCTCAGTTTGGGGTCTGTCCTTTCTGTGTAGTAATTGTTTCTTTTTCTTTGAGGAACAGTTACTACACTCACCCGATATTCTGATCATTTCCGTATTTCAGTCTTTATTTTAAGTTCCTTTCTACTCTTTGTATTTTATGTAATTGGACCGGAGTCTGTCTAGATCATTTTCATTAATTTTAGCACTGATTTAGTTTGAAGAGCAAGTTCCTTGTGTCTCATCAACTTCCAGCACATAGTCAAAAGCCTGAACTCTAGAGTTTGGCCACTTCTTTTTCTGATAAGACTTTTTATTAGTTTGAATATTAATTTATTCACTGTGCCAGAGGTAGCATGGCCTACTAAGAAGAGAATGGTGTTCAAATCCCAGCTTTCTCGCTCATAAACTACACTCATACCCCAGGGACCCAGTCTCTCTCTGCAGTTAAGTGATAGAATTTTGCTTTGCAGAATCATTGTGAATGACTGAAATCAATACTGTTTAAAAGTTCTGGCACTTTAATTGGTTACAGATTTTCCCTAAGTATTATTTTGTAAGAAGACAATTCCATTTCACTTTTTACTCTATTAAAGTACACGTCTTACTTTTATAGCTACTTACATACTTTCTGTATTACAACAGAGGTTTAGCTTGGGGAATAAACCTTGTTAATTATATCAACAGTTCTGCTTAATTTATCAACCTAAATTATCTGAGTGATGCTGATTTGAGTTGAAAATAAAATTACTTTTATGCCTCAATAGTCCCACACAAAGGAGCTCTGTGGCCTAGTGGCAAGAAGCTGCATTGCAATCCTGAAGGCATGCAGTTGGAGGCCACCAGCTGCTCCATGGGAGAAGGATGGGCATTCTTCTCCTGTTCAGTTAACTACTTCTGAAAGCACCTCCCACAAGGGTCAGCTACGGGTCGATTCCAGCTCTATGGTACATACAACAGTCCCACACAATTAAAATGCGCAATGCACAAATGTCTCTTAAGCTCTTCTTAAGAAAAAGCTCTTATAAGCTCTTCTTATACCAAAAATAGAGGCATTGTTTGCTTCTAATACCAGAAGTGAGGTTTAATAATTATGTGAATGAAAATATAATGTGGGTGTGAGTAGGCCATAAACTTTCCTTTTACTAAGTGTGCCATTGTGCCCTCAGCCCATGGCCCAGATTGTAGTTCTCTTCTCTGTTGGAAAGGAGATCACATCTTGCTATTGCAGTTACCACTTGCTGTCAGGCTGAGTCTGACTCATGAAGACCCCGTATGTACACAGTAGAACTGCTCCACAGGACAGTTGTTTAAGGTGACCTTTTGGAAGCAGTTTACCAAGCTTGTCTTCAAGACAGTTATGAGTGGTTTTGTGCTGTCATCCTTTTGACTAGTAGTTGATTGCTTAACCATTTGTGCTACCCAAGTATTCCTGTATCATCCTTTACAAGTGCCTTACTTCTTCTAAAGCACTGAGTGTGTTTTGTGGTTTTCAAAATCTTCTCATATTGCAGAGTAAAACATATCTGCACAAAATTTACAGAACTTACCATATACATACATACATATATACATATGTGTGTATATATATATATATATAGGGGTTGTATACACACACATACTATAGAGAGAGAGAGAGAGTGCTCGCCCTGGTGGCCTAGTGACAAAAAGCTGCATTGACATCCCGAAGGCACACAGTTCTAATCCTTCAGCTACTCCATGGGATGAGGATGGGCAGTCTCCTCCCATGCAGTTAACTGCCTCTGAAAACCCTCCGGAGGGTCAGTTATGGGTCGGTTCCAACTCGATGGTACAATGTAAACAATGCCTGTGTATATAGTTAACACCCCAGGATATCCCTTCATGCAACTCTCAGCTCTTCCTTTCCACAAGGGGTAAGCATGAAACAGATTTTTATGGTGAAGGTAAAATTATTGTTATCCTTTTACCACCTCACCATACCTGTCTATAAAATTGTAGTCCATTTTTATCTGTCTTTTGGGTTCTTGATTGAGTAGAAACCTGTGCTGTGTCTAAAATGTGAGATTAAGGTACAAACACTGTATCCTCCATTGATGATTGTTGGTGGCCTAATGAGTAATTGTTGCGTTGCCAATCCATAAGTACATGGTTCAAATCTGGCAGCTATTCCAAGGGAGAAAGAGGAATAGTCTCCTCCCATGCCATTTACAGAGTCTGAAAACCTGCTGGAGGGTCAGTTATGAGTTGATTCTAACTCAGAAGCAATGAATTGTTGAGTAGACTTTAATAAAAACTCAACTGTGCACTTTGGAGGCAGTAGGTTGGATTGCTGGAGAGAGGAGGGAAGTTGAGCACCCAGGTCAGATAGTTTTTATCAGACCTATAAAGATTAAACACGGAGGTCACACACTTCCGTGTTCTTGGAGCTTCTGGTGTTTTCTGTGTGGTGGGAATTACAGGAGCTGTGAGACCAAAACACCAGAGTTTGGATTCCAACTCTACTACGGCTTCCTACTCTGAACCTCAGCTCCCATCCTAATAGTAATAACACTTGCTGTTTCTTGGGCTGGTTTGAATGATTTAAAAAGAGATTACACCTACCCTCAATGACATGGATTGATTCAGTGACTGGGGTAATGAGGGTAGGTGTGTCAGAGGCAATAAAGTTGGCACAGGATAGAGCAGTTTTCAGGGCTATTGTATATAGTGTTGCTATGATTCACAAGCTACTTGACGGCACATAACAACAACACACCCAAACAAAAGGGTGCTGCATTGCTGAGTTTCCCCTCCATACATCCTCTCTCCTGGTGCCCAACCCAGGCCATGCCAAGGGCTGACACTCTCCTATACCTTCATGGGAAATGTGAGGGGTAGAAGTCAAACTGCTGTCCTCCTAGGGAAATGATCAGTCCTTGAGCAGAGACAGGTGTCCCCATGGGATCTCTGAACCATTTCCTGAAAACATAGGCTCTTTTCTTCCCAGCTCCCTAAGCTCCCACCCTGGTGAGCAGGTACCTGCTCCCCAGGTAGCTCTTTGGTTTCTGGATACAGGTGGAAATGCAGTGGCAGGTGTGGAATCAGCCATCTGCTGGACCAGGCTGCACTTGGCTCCTGATCCCTTGTGGTCTCCTAACCCCCCGCCACTCCCCGCTGAAACAGGCAGCTTCTGGTTTGCAGTCTGATTCCCTTTCGTTTCTCAAAAACTTAAGCTCTTAATTCTAACCACACTCTCCTTACACTACTCATCTCTTTGGCCCCTGGCCCCTTCTAATCTCTTTTCCTTTCTGGCCCTTCAACTTTAGACTCTCCTTCCTTTTGCCATTTCCCTGTTTATGGTTTTTGCTCTGCATGTCCCTTTGTGCTCCCAATTTATTGTTTATTTCTGTTGACCTATAATGCTTATCGTATGTCGTGTGAAAATGAAATAATGCCCAGTAGTAACCCATGCCTTTGTGTTGCTAGAGGGCACATGTTTGTGTGCGTATGAGAATAGAAACCAGTCTTCCACAGAAGGTAAGCTAGATCCATGTTGAGCCAAGTCGATGTCAGAGTCTCTGGACAGGGAAATGAATGTCTTCTGTTTTTGTAAGACGTTAACTCTACCTTCACTGAGTGTTGACAAGTTCTCAGTCTGGAGTCTGCTTGCTTGTCTGATGTCCCGAGTCCATGATTGATTAAAAGTGGGGTGTCGCAGGAGGAAAGAGAGGTCTGAAGGTCAGTGACGGTGTAGGCCAGGATGACATAGGAGCAGGCAGGCCAGTGTTTTATTCTGTTGTTGCCAGGTAAGAACTTACCTCATGGCACCTCACAGGAGGGCATCTCTCCGTTGTTAAGGCCCCAGACAGAAGTGTTTGAAAAGCAGATGCTAATATTTGAAGAACACCAGCAGCTTGAGTGCAGGAAGGAGAGGAGCAGAAACCCACACTGTAACTCAGAGGGTGCGTGTGCCCCAGCCTGAGCTGTTCAGCAATCAGTGCCAGTGCCCAATAACGCACTTCCTTCCCTGGCCTTTCCCAGAGGCGAGGAAAACAAAGTGGTAAAGGACTCATGGCATGGCCCACAGCTAAAGTGAAAATGCACTCAGAGGCTAGCTGCTGAACTTAGTGAGTGCAAATGGCACTCCAGTGTGGGGAACATAGCCAGTGTCTCATGTTGTGAGACTCTTCTGCAGTGTTCTTTTAGCCAAAATCTCATTGGGGGTTAAGAGTCTTTCCCCTTTTCAGCTCCCCAAACACCACCAAACTGACAGCTAAAGCTCAGGAGACTTAAGGAGACAGGAGAGTTCAGACTTAACCACACACTAATAGTGTTTTATAAATGTGTAATTATTGAACCCTTATTTGCAAAACCGTATTCATATATTCATCCACTCTCAAGTAGGCTATTTCTTAGAGCAGTTCAAAGTTTATAGAAAATCGTAGTGTTCTGTATATCATCCACCCTTCCTATTTACCCTGTTACTAACTTCTTGCCTTGTTAGAGTTGATTAACCACTGCTGATAGATTATCGTTAACTCAAGTCCACCATTCACATAGGCTTCAGTCTTCATGTTGTACTCATTTTAACTCAACTCATTGCCATCAAGTTGGGAATGACTTAAAACTGATCCTCCAGTGGGTTTTCAGAGGCTGCAGTTCATAAGGTGGGGGAGATTGTTCATCTTTCTCCCTTGGAGCAGCTGGTGGATTCAGACCCCAGAGAGATAAGTAAGACATTTGGGTTAATAGCACAACTCTTTACTACGGACCAGTGTTCCTCCTTCATGTTGTATAGTTCTACTGATTTTGGAAAAGGAAAAAATTGTTTTATACCCCCTGTTATAAAATGGCCATAGGAATGCTCTGTGCTTTACCTGATCATCCCTCACTTCACATGAAATTGCTTTAATAAGCAATTAATGAGCATTTCTTGTATACTATATACGCTCCTCTGGGTTTTTTGTTCTTACTGTAGAATAACTTAATTATTGTTATGTATCATTGAGTTCGAACCAACTGATGACTGCCTGGTGGGTTTTCACAGGCAGTAAATCACATAGCTGAAGGTTGCCCATCTTTCTCCCCACAGAGTAGCAGATGGATTCAAACCATGTATCTTTGGATTGGCAGTGAAACTCGTTACCACTAAGACACCAGAGCTCCCTAACTTAATTAATATATTCTGTTTGGAACTTCAAGTAGAACTCGCAAAAATGGTTTGAGAGAAAACACCAGTTAGAGGGCCATTTTGAGGGTCAAGATAGAGTGTCTTGAAGAGTTGTGAGCTTGAATTTCATTAAGCCCTTGTTCCAGGAGGAAACATCCATGTGTAAGGTCATATAAAATTGTGTTTAAAAGATTTCACTGAGTCAAGCTTCTGCATTGGGTATACTTGCATATTCAGGCAAGGACTTCACTAGAGGTAAACGTTTAAAAGTCATCCACTTACTCTCTTAAGAATACCCCTTTGAAGTTACAGAGTGTTGTTCCTAAGTACTTGCTTTGAGGAAACACACCTTCAGAGGTTTTCAAACTATTTTGGCAATAAAAGAAGCACATTTCACATTGAAACGCCAAATACACACTACCAAAATCGAATGCACAGCTGAATTCAAAAGAGACCAAAGTTTCCTGCAAAAATGGACACCTATGGGAGATTTGTCCTTTCTTTCTCTACCAAAAAACACAATTTAATTACAGGACATACAGTCACTCTGATAAATCTTTTATGTTAAGAAATGCAAATATGACATTTGACTCTATATGTGAATGAAAAGGATGGAAATTCAATTAACCTTTTCTTCTCTGGATTATAATGTGTGTGGACTGTTAACATTGAGCGAGGTGATCTGGGCTTAGAGGCAGATAATTTTAAAAAGTCCTTCTGTCAGCTATTCACAGGGCCACGACAGATAATGTCTTTATCCCACTAAGAAGGGGAAGTAAAGGGTAGTTGCTGGCTTAGTTAACCAGGGCATTAGCCTCTTCCAATCTCTTCAAAGGCAGAAGTTCTTCCCTCTTGGGGGGAGACTCTCTCCTTAGTATTCAGGTGTCCAGTGCAGTCCACGTCCTAGTATCCACACTTACAGTTTAACCACAGAGGCATCTTGCCTTGTAATAAATTGAATCCCATAATATTTACTAAGAAACAGTGTTACTGAATCATCAGCTTGTTGATTTGGGTATATAGATTGAGTAGCACGGTTTTAGGAAAGTTAAAATTATAATTGGCAGTACAAGACAATGTCTGTTTAGTACCACATGTTAATATTTAATGTAGATGAACTAAAGTGCTAATTTGTCCAAAGGCAAGCCCGTATTCACTTCCTTTAATGAAGAAATAATGGTTGGTGGCCTCGGACGCTACAGTAAGGATTATATTAGGGCTTTGCAGGTGCAGAGGGCAGATTGGTAAATGACAGCTGATGTTGCTTTCAGAGAATTTGCTTGATCACCAAGAGGAAACAGATGTATAGAAACCCATGGATTTTATTTATTTTTTTTTTTTTTTACTTTTACCCCTCTGACTGTTAATTGCCCACCTTCCTTGACAGTGCTCGATGTGCTAAGAGCTGTAAAAAAGGTACCAGTGGGCTGAGAGCCTTCCAGTGTATTTACATGCAGCTTAGCGTTAGTTACCAGTGTTTTGGGTTACACTGCCGGAGCTGAGTAATGAGCTTTGGCTGTGTCTCTAATTTTGTGTATGCTTTTGTTAAGAACTGCTCTTTGTTTTTAAAGTCAATTTTTAGTCTTCACTTTAGGGTGTAGTTTTATCATTATCCATATTCTTCAAAGAAAGTAAAAGAGGGTGAGAAGAAAAATAGAAATGTTGGTTAAGTTCCTTGTACAGAATTTTGTACTGGGATCTCCCCCTCCCTTCCTCTGTAGTATCTTTCTCACACCCATTCCCCATCCTAAATCATTGCACTTGAACTTTATTGCGTCTCCTCATCTGTTTACTAGTCATCTATTAGCCACCAGAGGTGTGCATTGCTTTGTTCTTCGCTTTTTTGGGCTGTTAGAAGTTTCTTGTTGCTTGCATTTAATTTACAAAGGCTGAGATTGGTGAAGGGGAAACAAAGACATGATTGAGTGAGATGAGCTCACATTGGTCAACATTTTAAAAAAATGTCAGCTTTTGGGTACTTACATTATCATTGTTCTTTCTAATTCTCTGTGGTTAATAAAATTCAGAAGTGGCTTGTAGATAATAAGCAAATGATAAAAATGGCAGCGTCATAATATGGGAGATTTCTGATTGTATTCTGAATTGTCTTTTTTAACTGTAGGTAATTGGTACACCTCAGAGACCTGCAGCGCCAAATACTATCCTGGTAGGAAGTCCACACACCCCTAACACACACTTTGTATCACAGAACCAGGCTTCAGACTCCTCACCTTGGTCCGCTGGGTGAGCAATATTCCTCTCAAACTATTAGAATTAACAGAATTGCTTAGAGTTGTAATAGTATAACAAGTTCTCCATTTGTGGCCAAATATGTGTGTAATTGTGCATTACAGGTTCCCTGTATAGATTTCTTTTTCAGAGCTCTTGACAAACTCCATCTGTTTTTAATTGTGGGGGGCGGATGTGCAATTCAAATCCAGAATTGACCTGTAACCAAAGCTAGACTTCCACCTTAGTAGATGAGAAGTCAAATTGCTAGAAAAACTATTTTCCCTCACTAGTGTTTTGGTGTCACTGTTACACTTTAAAGGTTTAGCCATTTTGGCAGAAGAAGAGGAAGAAGCTGGGTTTATCAACACATTGTTAACTTCACAACATTTCATTGTGCTGGAAAAAAAACAATTTAGGAAAAATGCATAGATGTGATAGCTCATAGAGCATCTTCATCCATAACTTTAAATTTCAAGATGCCAAGCAAGGGCTATGGCCCTGAAATATCCCCCACCAGGGCCCCCCAGAATCATTTAGATCATTTCTTCCTCTAAAGCAAAAACTGATGTGAGCACTATTTTACTTGGTCAGCCGTATCACTTTCCTTAGAAACAAGCAAACAGAAACAAAACAAAAAGACCATATCACTGTTGGTTATAAATGAGAGAAGAAGAAAAAAAATCATGTCTTCTTTTAAAAATGTAGTCAGTTAGAAACGAAGAGTTTTTCTTTGATGTGCTGACTCAGTAGTTTGGAAATTTGGATTCACCCTCTCAGTCTGAAGCTCTCATAATGTTTTTTGGTTGGATTTTTTTTGTTTGTTTGTTTTTTTAAAACAGTCTTGCACCCCCTGTGAGGTGGGTCATCACAGCTTTGTCTCATAGCCTGGCAAAATTTCCACAAATTATCTCAACACTTCCCAGAATTCCTGATGTTGGTTGACGTCTTTAAAGTGGTGGACATAGGCATATCAGATAGAGTATTTAGCTGACCCCACTTCTTTCGATGCCTAGCCCATTTTTTTTCTGACCTTTAAAAGGAAAAAGAAAGATAAAACCCTACACATTGAACACTAACAACGTATTGTCTCCCTTAATGTCACTAGTTTTCCTATAGCTTGGAATGCTGAGGAAATCTTGGCTTGATCTTACGAGATCTTGTACGCAGTTGGGCTGGGGCCCTTTTTATGTAGTATTACATCCTTTAGCTAAAAGTGTGTCTTAACTCAAGGTTGGCTCCCAAGAGTGCTAATGGCTGCTTATATTTTCCTTTGTCTCTTTGAAGGAAACGCAACAGAAAAGGAGAAAAGAATGGCAAAGGTCTGAGGCATTTTTCAATGAAGGTTTGTGAGAAGGTCCAGAAAAAAGGAACCACTTCATATAACGAAGTGGCCGACGAGTTGGTTGCGGAGTTCAGTGCTGCTGACAACCATATTTTACCAAATGAATCAGTAAGTATTTGTTGGATGGATGCATGTGAGAGACCAGGGGCAGGCAGAACTCATTTACATTTCAGAATTTTTTTTTCCCAATTTAAAACCATCTCAAACATACAGAAAAGTCCCAAATACAGTACAAAAACCTATTTATTTCCTGACCTATTTGAGAGAGTGTTGCTGATACATGTCCTATCAGTCCCAGATAGTCTAGTGTATACCCAAGTGGCATATATGGTTAACTTTTCAGCTACTAACTGAAAGATGAGCAGTTCAGATCCACCCAGAGGTGTTTTGGAAGAAAGGATTGACAGTTGCTTCCACAAGACCATTGCTCTAAAAGACATGGGACCACCATGAATCACAATAGGCTTAATGGCGACAAGTGTGCCTTTTATTTATTCTCCTGCACATCCACAATATAACCAGAAAGATAACACATCACTGCACGCTGATTGTCAGATTCCTCATTAAGTCACCAGTTACTCTGTTTTGAAACTTCACAGCAGAAGGTTCCAGTGTAGAATCGGAAACTGCACTGATTGTCAACTCCCTTCCATCACAAGATCACTATAACACATTTGAAGGTCATGAGGCCATTGTTTTGGTAGAGTTATCTCTCACTTTAGGGATGTTTGCTGTCTTCTCATTTGTAAACACGAGTTGAGCTTCTTTGGTGAATACCACACAGGACAGGAACTGCGTCCCTGTTGGCACAGCCTGACAGGAGTTACATTTTCCATTGGTCTCCTGCACGTAATGAGAACTTGGACCTTCTGATGAAGGTGGTATTTGCTAGGCTACTGCCCTACTGACAGATGTTTCCTTTTCACATAGAAACTAATAAGACTGCATGGTAATTACTTTCAGGCTATAGATACTCAGATCCTCATAAGACTTTCCATTCACTGAATTGATAGCTTTCCTGTTATATTAAACTTACTGTAAGATTGGTGTTTGACTTCTCTCGGCAACTCCACAGGAGAAACGACTTGGCAGTCTGTTTTTCCATGAGGATAATAAGCCAAAAAAAAAAAATCCTGTGAGGTTGCTGTGGGTTGACAAGTTGATCACAGAGTTTCAGGCTGCTGATAACCCTGTTTTATCAAATGAATGGACAGCACTTAATAGAATTTTATCCAGTGGTTTCTAATCTATTATTCATTCCCTCATTCATCTCTCTCTCTTTCAATACTTAAAAAGTTTGATTTTGGGCTGTCGGAGTCTTTCAACCTGTCTTATCTACATCCATTGAAAAGCATGCATTTACACACTTAATATTTGACATTCCAAACCAATACCTCAGGATCCTTTTCCATTTTCTCCCTTTTCGTATATATCACCCTCTTACAATGAGAAACGTGATGCACGTAATCTTAAATATATGACCTTACTTAATGGATACTAAGCATGAAACCAGTCCTCTTTTGCCTCCTGGATATGTACCTTGTGCACAGTGTGAACCTCTTCTGTGCACAGTTATCTTTCTTGAGGGTCTTCCTGACGTCTTGACATCAAGTATCCAGTTCACCACCTGGTTTGAGACCTCTGTGGTCCCTGAGACCCCTTACCCTGGCGCGGACACCTGCTTTGCTCAACTTTTAGAACTAAATTGTTCAGCAATGCTGTGGTTTTAGGAGATGTAATTATAGATTTATATCACATAGAATGAATTAATGAATCTGTTTACCTGGTACCAACTTGAAATGTTAATCTGCAAGCTGTGTTGGATCTTTTTAGAAGATTAATGCACTGTCTTCACCAGGCTTATGACCAGAAGAATATAAGACGACGAGTCTATGATGCCTTAAATGTCCTAATGGCCATGAACATTATCTCTAAGGAGAAGAAAGAAATCAAATGGATTGGTCTGCCTACTAACTCGGCTCAGGAATGTCAGAATTTAGAGGTATATTTGTAGCCATTTCCTTTTAGCTGTGTCTATGCTAGTATGTCCAAAAGTAATTCCAAGTAAAGCAGGAATAAATCTGTTTCTTTCTTTCCTTCCCTATATAATCTCAGAAGAGTGCTCCCAGTCTGACTGAACTCACTCTGCAAGTGCATGGCTGCTGTAGGGTTAGAGTGCTGTCACTCCCAGATTTGTTTGTTAAATTCTAGTGTAGGGAGCTCAGTTGTCCTAGTGGCAAGAAGCTACACTGTAATCCCAAAAGTACACTGTTCGAGGCCACCATGCACTCTGTAGAAGAGGAATGGGCAGTCTTTTCTCATGCAATTAGCTGCCTCTGAAGACTCACCAGAGGGTCAGCTATGGGTGGGTTCCGACTTAATGATACACAACAATAGGGAAATTTTAAGTTGTGGGGTTTTTTTTTTGTAAGATTTAAAAAATAAATATCTAGATCCAAGAAATGAGAGACAAGGAGTAGACTGTATAGTTTTGAAATTGAACAAAATCTCACCTGTAAATAATTTTTTAATGAGTATTTATATATACACACACAAACGACACACATTCATAAGTGTGTGCATGTATATTATTAAGTGCTATTGAGTTAGAACCAACTCTTAGCTGACCCTCCATCGGGTTTCAAAAGCTCTAACTCACACAGGAGGAGATTGTCATCTTTCTCCCGTGGATCCGCTGGTGGATTCACATTGAGTACCTTCAGGTTGGCAGTGCATCTCCTTGCCATTCATCAGTCATCAAAACTGACACACGACTGGCATTTTTTTCTGAGCCTGTAATCACGTGGTAGGTGTTACTCCTATTTCCTCCTGAGAGATACTGGTGGCTTTGAACAGCCAGACAAGCATGACCTTTGTATAAGCAGCAAAACTCTCTACAGACTAGTGACCAGAGTTAAATCTATTTATTTACATCCCCTCTTATAAACCACAATGAAAAAAATAGATAGGAGTTTGGCCAGCTGTACTGGTGGAACCCCGGAGACTACGGCCTTTGTTGTTGTTGTTGTTCTGTGTTATAGAGCCAGCACATAGCTAGCTCTCTGACAGATTTTTCAGAGGCAATTAATTGATTGTACAGGAGGAGATTGCCCATTCTTCTCTTGCAGCGCAGCTGGTGGATTCACATGGGGTGTGTGTCTTTGGGATTGCAGTTCAACTTCTTACCACCAGGACACCAGAGTTCCCTTAGGAATCTTACATTCCTGCAACTAAACTCACTTCTCTCTCACACCTTTCAGTCAGTTAGTAAATCTGTAGGATCATCAAAAACAACAGGGAGATACTCTGTTTTTAAAACAGTCCACCGTACAAGATCACAAGGGCAGATCAACCCAAGGATAAAGTAGAGAAGGGAGGGAGGGACAGGATGTAGTCACTGTCCTAAAACAATACATATATATGAGAGGTTAAATAAAATACCAGTAATGCTCTGTAACCTTTTACTCAAATCTCAGTAAAAAGTTAGAACAACTTTCCCCTATAGCCCCTGCAGTCTAGATTTGTCAATTTCTATGCAATTAGATTTAGAGCAATTGATTTTGCTAAGAACCTACTTAGATGATACTGAATTGATAGAGATTTTTAATGCAAACAATGTAAACAACTTGCAGTGATTTCTTGTATTTGTTCCTTTTTGAAGGTAGAGAGACAGAGAAGACTTGAAAGAATAAAACAGAAACAGTCTCAGCTTCAAGAACTTATTCTACAGGTAATGATTATTTTCTTTTTTAAATGGAGGGAAGTGTGTTGTTTTCCCCCTTTTACTAATTTAGCTCATTTAACTAGAATATCTTAAAAATTGGAGCTTTACTTCTAAGTGGTAAATATAGTTTCTGCTTTGACATTTACTCCTATGTGATAAATATAGTTTCTGCTTTAAGATTGAGTATGAATTTAATAAATACTCATTGGACACCTCCTGTGCTCGTGTTGTCAGATACAGGGCCCATGTGCAGGTGTTTTTGGGGATGTGTGTGTTAGAGAGGGACAGATACACAGAAATGTTACTTGGTACAAAGTATCTAGTTGATAAAACTGATGAGATGGCATTTTTAAAGATTCACTCCACCAACAGTGATTAAGGGTTCCAGTTTCTCCACGACCTCACCAGCATTCGTTGTTTGCTGCTCTGTTAAATTTTGCTATTCTTACTGGTGTGAGATGATATCTCATAGAGGTTTAGATTTGCATCTCGCTTAGAGCTAGGGATTTTGAACATTTCTTCATGTGTTTGTTCACCATCTTGAATGTCATCTTTGATGAAGTGTCTGCTCATGTCCTGTGCCTGTTTTTCAGTTGGGTTGTTAACCTTTATCTTGTTGTGGTGATATTTGATAAATTCTAGATTTAAGTCCCTTATCAGACCTGTCATTACCAAATATTTTTTCCCAGTCTGTGGCTTCCCTTTTTACCCTGTTGAAGAAGTCTTTGGATGCGCAAAGGGATTTGATTCTTAGAAGGTCCCATTCATCTATTTTATCCTCTCCTGCTTGTAGGTTTTTCAGGATGCTTGGAAGACTGTTTATGTTGTGGATTAAGACTTCTAGGGTTCTTCCGAGCTTTTCTCTATTGAAGTAAGCTTAAAAGTGTAAAATGGTGCTACCATTATGGAAGGCAGTATGATGCTTTCTCAAAGAGTTGAAAATAGAGATACCATTTGATCCAGCAATTCCACTACTGGAAATATACCCTAAAGAAACCAGAACTGCCACCCAAGAAGATATATGCAACCTATGTTTATTGCTGCTTTGTTCACAACAGCAAAGAGTTGGAAACAACCCAAGTGGCCATCAACAAACAGGTGGATAGAGAAGCTTTGGTGTATTCACACAATGGAATATTATGCAGCACTGAAAAACAAAGAACTCATGAAATACTATACAAAATGGTTGACCATGGAGGATATTATGCTGAGTGAAATATCTCAGTCACAAAAGGCAAATACTGTATAATGTCACTGTTATAAAACAGGACTGACAGGGAGGCTGGGGGGGGGAACTAAGAAAAGAGGGAATGAATAATGTACACGGCATTGAAATAGATGAAGGCAAGAACTGTATAAAAGGAATATATGATTAGGTATTGGTATGACAAGAGTCAGAATAAGAGCTGCTTAGTAAAGTGGTCGGGATGGGGACGTACTACTGTATAACAATGAAAATAACTTTTTTTCCCAAATAAAAAAGTGAACTGGGGAGGAGGGAGAAGGGAGGAAAATGTGCAACAATAAATGAATGGAAATCCAAGTTCTTTATAAACGTTAAATGAAATATCAATTTAAAAAATTCACTCCAATAATATATTAAGTACAGGCAGGTTTTGTGGTGATGAAGGAAGAAGTTCAGGCTGCTTTGAAGGAAATAGCAAAAAATAAGGCCCCAGGAATAGATGGTATACCAGTTGACATATTTCAGCTAACAGATGCTGCCCTGGATGTGCTCACCAAGTTGTGCCAAGAAATCTGGAAAACAACCACTTGGCCAAAGAAGGGTGACCCAACAGAGTGTGGAAACTATAGAACAGTATCATTGCTTTCACATGCAAGCAAGATTTTTCTGAAGATTATCCAAAAAGGACTGGAACAGCACATCAGCAGAGAACTGCCAGAAGTCCAGGCTCGGTTTAGAAGGGTTCGTGGTACTAGGGATATTGTAGCTGATGTTAGATGGATCTTAGTTGAAAGCAGGGAATAACAGAGGAATGTTGCTGTCTGTGTTTCATTGACTATGCAAAGGCATTTGACTGTGCAGATCATAACAAACTGGCTGACTCTAAGAAGAATGGGAATCCCAGAACACTTGATCGTGCTAATGTGAAACCTATACTTGGACCAAGAGGCAGTCATTAGAACAGAGCAAGGAAATAATGCATGGTTCAAAATTGGGAAGGGCGTACGCCAGGGATGTGTCCTGTCTCCATACCCTTTCAACCTGTATGCAGAACAGATTTTCCGAGAGGCTGGGCTCTATGAGGAGAAGTGTGGTGTCAGGGTTGGTGGAAGATCTATTAACAATCTTTGTTATGCAGATGACACACTGAGGAGGACCTGAAGCGCTTGCTGCAGAGGGTCAAGGACTACAGTCTTCAATATGGATTGAGGCTCAATGTCAAGAAGACAAAGATTCTCACTACTGGACCAGTTGGCAGCATCAGGATGGATGGTTAAAGAGATTGAGATTGTTTACAGCTTTAGTTTGCTTGGCTCCACAGTCAACACTCTTGGCACCAGCAGCCAGGAAATGAAAAGACGTATTGTGATGGAAAAGTTTGCTGTTAGGGCCCTCTGCAAAGTAATCAAGAGCAGTGGTGTCTCTGGAGACTAAGGTGCATCTGATACAGGCCATGGTCTTTGCAATCACTTGTTATACGTCAGAGAGTTGGACAGTGATTAGGGAGAATTGATGACTTTGAGCTGTGGTGCTGGAGAAAAGTATTGAATGTACCATGGATTGCTAAGAAAACAAAAGGTTCATCCTGGAGAGGGTTAAACTGGGTGACTGCTTGGAGGCAAGGATTCTGAGACTTCATCTCACATACTTTGGACATGTTGTACGGAGGGAGGGACAGGTCCTTGGAGAGGGACATTATGCTTGGGAGGGTGGAGAGACAGCGCAAGAGGGGAAGGCGCTCTATGAGGAGGATTGATTCAGTGACTGGGGTAATCGGGATGGGTGTTTCGGAGACAGTGTGACTGGCACAGACCAGAGCAGAGTTTAGGGCTGTTGAAAATAGGGTCGCTATGAGTCACAAGTGACTCGACAGCATATAACAACAACAACAGGCAGATTGCAAGGGACTACTGTTTGGGGTATGTTTATGAGCATAATAGATATTGTTGGGTGCAACTCATCATGACCCCATGCACAACAGATGTGAACCCTGACCTGTCCTGTGCCATCCTTACAATTCTGACATACTCTAGCCCATTGCTGTACTTTCTGTGTCAATCCATCTTGTTGAGGGTCTTCCTCTCTCTTTGCTCTCCCTCTACCTTCTCAAGCATGATGTCCCTCTCCAAAGAACAGCCTCTCCTAACAACATGCCCAAAGTATGTGAGACAAAGTTATATCATCTTTGCCTCAAAGTTCTTTTGGCATTCCATGTAATATTCAGTACTCTTTTCCCAGCACTACAGTTCAGAAGCATCAGTTCTTCATCTGTCCTCCTTGTGAATTGTCCAGCTCTCAGATGCATAGCAAGTGAATGAAAAAGAAAATGACATAGAAAAAGAAAATAACGAAGGCATACCTTCGTCCTCAAACTAACGTCATTGCTCCTCAGTAATTTAGAGAGGTTTCAGTTACAGACTTTCCCAGTTCAATACATCTCCTGACTGTTGGTACCAAGTCTATTGATTGTGGATCCAAGTAAGATGAAGTCATTGACAGTTTAAAGCTTTTCTCCATCTATAATAAATGTGGGATTTATTATTTTAGAGCCTTATTTCTGAGCAGGATGATCAGTTGTTGTGTATCCTGGAGTCGGAAGTGACCCATAGCTGACTGACCCTACAGTAGGTTTCAGCGACAGTAAATCACATGGGAGGAGATTTTCCATCCTTGTCCCGTGGAGAGGCTGGTAGATTTGAACTGTATGCCTTTGCACCAGAGCTCCCTTGAGATAATCAGTAGACAAAATAAATAAACCTTAATACTAGTCAAGAAATAATGTTTGGCTAGAGAATAAGCATGTGTTAAGCCTATAGAAAAGATCTGCATCATGCTGATGTAGACCTTGTGGAAACAGCATGTAACACTAGAGATTGGGACTTGGAGGCTGTATCAGAAGAATCTGAGGTTTGATTCGGACTTCATGGGAGAATTGCACACCCAGTAACCACCCGAAAGGTCATTGGTAAGTAGGAGCAGCCAGAAGAGAAATGATTTCCATCCCAGACAGCTAGAAGGGGTGGAGTTGGTATTACTGGGAGATGTCTGGTAGCTACTTGAGGGACCTGCTTAAGGATGTCACCTATGCACAAGGGATGTCAGCCACTGTGGCAGTGAACAGAGTCATGCAGAAAGAAATAGATGAAGAAAGTGCTCTGTAGTCTAGAAAAACCAGAAGGGAAAGCTAAGGGATAAGGGATTTCTGGGAAGGAGAGTGGAAAGTGGTTTATTGAACTACTTTTAAAAGGCCAGAAAAATGCTTGTGGAAAGGTGGAACATCTGCTGGACCGGCCCATACTTCAACCTGCAGTGGCTGTCTGCTTTAATTGAGGGCCAGGAAAGTGGAAACCACTGTGTGTATATGTTTGTGGTTGGGGGCGCAGAATGCTCTGTGTGTGTGTGAATGAGTGACTGTGACTTCTGGTCCAAGTGGTTTTTAGTTATAGAAGGAGTTTGCATATTTTCATGAAGAGGCACCTTATCCAAGAGATTGATTTCCTATGATCCTCATATTAAATCAAATGTTCACTTGGAATAGTTGTTTAGGATTCATATATCCTGGGAAAGATTGGGTGCAGGTTTATTCATGTCATCTTAGTGGGGTTGTCCTCCATGGGATGCTGGTCTGGGGAGCTTTTGGTAGACTGGCATGGAAAGGGGCAATTGAGTAGAGCTGATAGCAGGAGTAAAGATGGCCTGAGAGCAGAGAGGCGTAACTGAGGAAGTGAGGACAGCCACAGGCCGGGCAAGTACACCTCTTCTTTACTCCTAACTCCTTCCATTCAGTTTCTCCCCACTGAAGTGAATGAATATCTTTCTT